AGAGAGAGAGAGAGAGAGAGAGAGAGAGAGAGAGAGAGAGAGAGAGAGAGACAGACAGACAGACAGACAGACATACAGAGAGAGAAAGAGAGACAGACAGACAGACAGACAGACAGACAGACAGACAGACAGACAGACAGACAGACAGACAGACAGAGAGAGAGAGAGACCCGCCCACCCCCCACCCTCCAAAAAAAAACAACCCACAACTAAACAACCCACACTCACTTCGAAAGCCGGCCGCGCCAAGATGGTGTTGCCAGTAGAACTTTTGCCGTGACCAGTTTTCCCGAGCAAGAACAGAACCAACTCTCTGCCTTCCACTTCTGTGGAGTTCCCGGATGTCACAGGTTCAGCAGCCTGCGCCATTTTGGATTTTGTTTCTTCTGTGGAATCAGAGGCGAAGCGTCTATATAATCAAATAATCACTGCTTCCCTCCCTAATTTTGAAACATTGTCGCAGTCAAATTCACCCATAGACGTAATCCTCATAAATTAAATGTAAAAAGACGTTTATAATCACCAATGAACAATAGACTATGCCTAACCTTCAAAACCGTTTCATTGCCACAGAAATAGCCTGTTCGCCCCTATCGGGCCACTCCATAAGCAGGCACCAGCTTTGATTAAGTAAGCTTAAAGTGAGGCTGGGAGAGTCAACCAATAGATTTGAAGGGAACATGTGCATAGCAGTCAGAGCTGTTTCATTGTCGCATATACCCTGTTCACCCCTTTCGGGCCACAGTTATAAGCACCCAGACGCGCTGATTATCTAAGCGAACTATTACACTGGTCGAGTCTACCTCACAGATGTGAGGGGAACTAACTCCTAATAATCCTTTGACTCCTGCTACTACACTGCTAGTGCTTGTTTTTTTCCTCGACTTTTTAACGTCCTATAATCAGATCGTGACCTCGATTATGACAGCGGCTCCTGGCCGCGAAAAGCTAGACAAAAAACAGCCAAATGTGAAATAAAAAATTAATAATTGGCATTCTCTACCAAAGTGTTTCGGCTGTCTGGTATAACATGCCATTGTAGTGCTGACATCTGTGCTTCTTTCCTTGGTGTTCGTGTGTTCAAATCTAAAGTTAAATTTAAGGTTAGTTAGAATAAATATTAAATGAAATACTTTCCCGATTATTTTAGCAGTTGAACAAGCATACAACATGAATTCAGGATTTGTTTTCATTCACAACTCAGAGTTGCCGCCTCCAGTGCCAGTAAGATTCTTGTGACTTGTGTGAGTGTGATATCTCCAGGCCCTATCTGGTCACATTTCACTTTGATTACCCTGTCAAACAAGTCAGCATTCGCCCGTGTGTGGAATAGTTAGTTTGCCATGAGCCTGTTCTTCGTTTGTCTGTTCTAGTTTTTAGTTGATTGTTTGTTTGTTTGTTTTTATTGTTTTTTTAAAATAATGTTGTAGTTATAGTTGATATCGCCGAGCCGTAGAGGAGTCCAAAAGTTACATGGAAATCAAAAGCGAAGAGAAAAAAAAATAGGAACAGGGAAGAAGAAGAAATACGAAGAGGGAAGAAGGAGAATTAAAACAATTGTTATGAGGAGGAGGAGGAGGAGGAGGAGGAGGAGGAGGAGGAGGAGGTGAACGAGAAGAAGACGAACCATGAGAAGAAGAAGAAGAAGAAGAAGAAGAAGAAGAAGAAGAAGAAGAAGAAGAAGAAGAAGAAGAAGAAGAAGAAGAAGAAGAAGAAGAGGAAGAAGAAGAAGAAGAAGAAGAAAAAGAAGAAGAAGAAGAAGAAGAAGAAGAAGAAGAAGAAGAAGAAGAAGAAGAAGAAGAAGAAGAAGAAGAAGAAGAAGAAGAAGAAGAAGAAGAAGAAGAAGAAGAAGAAGAAGAAGAAGAAGAAGAAGTTGTAGTTTATTAGTTCTCCCCCCCCCC